TCGGACGCTTAACCGACTGCGCCACCCAGGTGCCCCAAGAAATAGATTTTAAATAAATAATTATGGTAGAATAGGCTAAACACAGTATCATAGGTTTCAGTAAGGCATTAAGAAAGCATGGAAAGAGGATGTAGGCTCTCTAGAGGAGGAATTTTGCTTTATTTCCTACTGTATCACCAGTTCTTAGGACAATGCCTGGCACAGAATAGATCCGCAGCAAATATGTATTCTAAAAACGAATTAATCGTGTCATCCTTGAAGTTATTTTTCATTAAATGAACATGAAAATAAGAAATTTCCCAGTTACCCCTTCAGATGTTTCTTGTTCCAATCATCAGAATCTTTCCGAAGAATTTGTCTCTGAAACATTGCACAGAAAAGATATTTACCCTATGTTAAAATAATCCTGTTTTTAAGTTTCTCAGGGAGTATTGCAAAAATGCCAAAAAGGAAATAATTCAAATCTCACCCAACACGATGACATTGGAAACCCAAAAATGAATAATGGCACAAGAGGAAATATAAGTAATAAGGACAAAAGCCACTGTGGCTCACAAGCTACCGACCATACAGGTATCTCTCAAGGCTTTGGCTTATATTGAGTTTAATTGTTTTGGCTTTCAAAATTTGAAAAATCCTATTTAACAGGTATGCATACATATGCATATACATACATATATATGTATATATCTTTATGTACATATATATATTGATTATTCTTTTTCCAGTGGGAGGAAAGCTGTAAAAAAAGAACAAAACAGTCTGTTCCCTTCAGGAACTTAAAATCAAATTGAAACACATAAATATGGAAAGTTAACTGCGATTATAAGGCAGTGTATAAATAAGCTGCCAATAACTATTTTTGTCTCTTATTTATTCTGTTTTGAAATTCAAAATGAATAAAAGTGATTATACACAACAAATTATCCATTATGATTTTGTGCTTAGAACTTGCAATCATGCAAAATTTTGGAAAACTGTCCCTTCTGCTTCCAATTATTTTCAGTTTAACTTTAGAACACTTACCTTTTTGAGCCTTCAACATTTACTTTATGGTTTATGTGAAAAATGTGTTGATTAATTTATTTTATAATTACTTGCCAAGGGTTTTCTCCACTCCATTAGTTTGTGTTATTCTCTTGATCACATATGAAAATGTCATATATATTACGGTTTACTTATTGGTACTCTTTGCTTTTGGATTATGTATCTGTTTTACATGTATAAGTCTCAAAGTAATTAAGATACTGTAATTTTAACACATATTTTACACTCTGATTAGATGTTAAGAAAGCTTTGATAGGTAAACATGGAATCATATAGACACCATTAAACTTTTATTAAAGTCAGTCTAAATGCTGTATATCCAATTCTGAGATATTAATTTCCTATTACTTTTTTTTTTAATTGAAGAAATACAAACATGAAGTTAACCATTTAAAATAATGCAATTCAATGGCATGAGGACATTTGAATGTGCAACGGCTAATCTATCTAGTTCCCAAACATTCTCATCACCCAGAAGAGAAATTCCTACTCCCGATAAAAAAATCCCCTGCTCCTTCACCCCGGCCTTTAGCAACCACTAATCTGTCTTCTGTCTCGTGGACTCACCTATTCTGCATTTTCATATATGGAATCATACAATATTTGACTTTTTGTGTCTTGCTTCTTTCACTTAGCATAATGTTTTCAAGGTTCATTCGTGTGACATCATGTATCAGCATTTTATTTCCTTTTATGACTAATATTCTGCTCTTTGTATATATCTAAAATTTGTTTCAGATGGCAATACCAAAGTGATCTATCAAAATTCCAATGCCCTGTTTTTTTTTTTTTTTTTTTTTTGCGGAAATGGACAAAGTGATCCTGAAATTCATATAAAGTTGCAAGAAATCCTGAATAGTAAAAACAATCTTGAAAAAGAAGAATAAATTTGGCAGATTCACATTTTCCAATGTCAAAACTTAATGGGGATGGAAAGATGAATCCTAGCTGCTTAATATTTACGGGGTTTCTTTTCACGGTGATGAAAATATTTCGGAATTAGATAGTAGCTGTATTTGCACATTGTGGACATGCTAAAAATTCATGCACGTTGAAGTGGTTAAAATGGCGGCTTTTATGTTACATGAATTTTACTTCAATAAAAAAAGGATATTTGAGTGGCCATAAGTTTGAATAGATATACTGACCTGCCATCATATTTACACATACAATTTACTTTCGTTCATTATTATGCCAAAGTCTTAGGTATTTACAATTTAAGACCTCAGTTTAATTTTAATTTAAGAAAATCGAGGAATATAAACTTGTAATTATATAGAGGTTGAAAAAACTAAATTCTCAATATTAGTTAATATCAAAAGGGAATCATTAAGGATTTATGCACATAAAGGAAGTAGAGAAGTCTTAAAGCTTTATTTGGTTAAATTATAAGAAAATGGTATAAATAATATTTAATCTCTCAAGTAGCATTAATGCAATATACAGCTTAAATGGTTCATGTTATTTTAGCAATTACATTAGATCTGGGCATGAGAAACATTCCCCTTTGTCTAAGTTTTGCTTCATCTTACTAAATTGATTTCTTAATTCCCAAGAATTATCATTTGTGTTTTGGACACCTTGTAAATCTGAACCCCTTGTTGTGAGTGATTTTATCATACATCTCCACTCTTACTCATACAACATGTAAGTATTCAGTGTCCAGAGGTACATATATAATTTAATTATCTTTGTTTCCTTTGTGTCACTACAGGATTGTGCCCATCAGAATGGCTCAAATATCATAAAAAGTGTTATTGGTTCTCTAATGAGATGAAAAGTTGGAGTGACAGTTATAGGTATTGTTTGGGAAGAAAATCTCATCTACCAATCATTCAGGACCACATTGAAATGGTTAGTGGTTTAGGGCCAGGGTTATGGCGTTAGTTTCTGTGGAGTTAAAAATAGCCTACCTCAGGGCGCCGGGGTGACTCAGTCTTTTTAGACATGGGACTCTTGGTTTTAGCTTAGGTCATAACTTCACGGTTTTGTGGGTTCGAGGCCCACGCCCAGCTCTGCACTGTTAGTGCGGAGCCTGCGTGGGATTCTCTGTCTCCCTCTCTCTCTGCCTCTACCCCACTCATGCTGTATCTGTTCCTCTCTAAATAAATAAAGAAGTAAATAAATAACTTAAAAAATGACTTACGTCCTATTTCTTCCCACCCTTCCAGTCAGTTATCATTTACCTTGATTACTGAGTTTTTGGCACCTTCCTAAGTTTTGTGCTAAAAGCCAGTGCCTTACTTGACTCATGCTAGCCCTGGACTGAATACTTGTATTCGATGTACAGGTAGTGTATACGTATATATATGTTTACAATAAATGTGCAATGTGTGTAAATAAGTTATGAATTGATTACTATCTGAATGCTCATGCAGGATACTAATTGTCCAATAAAATCCTAAATCGTTTTAATATGTCTGAAAACTATTAAAATATTCTGTTCACTTACTCATTCCTCACTTTTTAGGCTTTTATACAGAAAAACCTAAAACAATCAAACTACGTGTGGATTGGGCTCAACTTTACATCCCTGGAAAAGGCATGGACCTGGGTGGATGGTTCTCCATTAGATTCAAAGACGTGAGTCTTTTCAAAAAGACTATCTGATTTACTATCGTAGAACTTATCTTCATAAAGCACCTCTCGGTCCACCAAAATCAACTCTGAAATAGTTCTCGGTACTAAAACATTTGAAAGGATGAAAATCAGGTTAATGTTCCCTGGAGTAATGATGGATACTTTGGTTTTGTTTTCAAAGCAAAAAGACTAGGAAAGAATAATGGTTGTGCATTTATTGTTTAAAAACTACACCATATACAACAATGGAAAGAAGACTAGACCAAGGATGTGGGCACAAATGTACTCTCAGTTCTGTCACTTCTAAACAGACTCTCTGGGAACTTTCTGCGAAATCACAGACAGCAATATTAAGTAACAGACATACTGTAACTTTTAGTGAATCAAAGGATTTGAAAATGCCCTGAAATCTGAGTTACATTTTGATTAAGGGAGGGAGTTAGCTGAAAACGTAAATGGATGTCGTTAGCAGCGATGATTAACAATGTATTTATCATTTCTTCTACAGATTTGTCATAAAAGGACCAGCTAAAGAAAATAGCTGTGCTGCTACCAAAGAAAACAAAATTTACTCTGAAACTTGCAGCAGTGTTTTCAAATGGATTTGCCAATATTAGAATTAAAAAAAAAAAATTAGTAGTGAACTAATCAATGATGAAAGCTTTTGCCTATTAGGTTCTAATATTAACCTTAAGGAGTGAGAATTTAAAACTGAAAACAACAAAATGTCTTCTCCATTTTCTCTCCATCGTCTACATTGGTCCTAATCTCAGAGTAACCCATGTAAATAATCCAAAATATGCCCTTCCTATTTTTTATGTGATAATATAATCCAATGTGAGTCCATGGATTTATACTCTGGACTTTTATTCATTTTTCATGTTATAACAAATGTGACCATATTTATCTGCTTTTCTGTATTTTGCTTGTTTATGTGTAACGATATTCTGTGTTAATTTCATATCATTCTGAGTTTCATTGTAGTATGGATTTATATATTTTTTACTGCTTTGTTGAGCATTAACTTCATTCTCAGGTTTTTGCTACTGTAAGCTATGTTGCAATAAACATTCTGAATATATTTTTATTTTATTTTAAAGTTTATTTATTTATTTTGAGAGGGTGGGGGCAGAGAGAGAGAGGGGAAAGAGAATTCCAAGCAGGCTCCACACTGTCAGCGCAGAGCCCAATGCAGGGCTTGAACTCAAAACCCTGAGATCATGACCTGAACAGAAATCAAGAGTCAGAGGCTTAAACGACTGAGCCACTCAGATACCTGTGAATATTTTTTTAAATGGTAGCCCTTTCATTTCTTTTTCTTTGATATAAACCTTAAACGTGGAAATTCTGACTAAAACATTAAATATGTTTTTTTTATGCTTCAGATTTTATACAATTTTAATCTAAATTACAAACTGATAAGATTACAGGTACAGAGCAAAAACATTTTCCTGTTTCGTGAACCTCTTAAGAATTACTTGCCGGAATGATACATTTTATTATATTAAAAAGAATTTTTTTTTTTAATTTTTTTTTCAACGTTTGTTTATTTTTGGGACAGAGAGAGACAGAGCATGAACGGGGGAGGGGCAGAGAGAGAGGGAGACACAGAATCGGAAACAGGCTCCAGGCTCTGAGCCATCAGCCCAGAGCCTGACGCGGGGCTCGAACTCCCGGACCGCGAGATCGTGACCTGGCTGAAGTCGGACGCTTAACCGACTGCGCCACCCAGGCGCCCTAAAAAGAATTTTTTAATGTTTTATTTATTTTTGAGAGAGACAGACAGACAGTGTGAGTAGGGGAGGGGCAAAGAGTGAGAAGGAGACACAGAATTCGAAGCAGGCTCCAGGCTCGGAGCTGTCAGCACAGAACCCGAAGCGGGGCTCAAACCCACAAACAGTGAGATAGTGGCCTGAGCCAAAGTCCCACCCCCAGCTGACTGAACCACCCAGGTGAATTGCAAGTACATTGGATACTTTCGTATATATTTTCTACACACAAAAAATTTCCTACTTAATCACAAATTAAATGATCAAAATTCACACACCTCTAACATTGACCCAGCACTACCATCTAATTCTTGGACTCACTTTAAGGTTTGCCAATTGTTTAAAAAAAAATGTCCTTTAGAGTAAAATATCTAGCTCAGAATCATTTTCTGCATATAGTTTGTTCGTCTCTTTAGTCTCCTTCCATCTAGAAGAGTTCTTTAGACATCCTTATTATTCACAACCTTGATGTTTCTGGATACTATAGCAGGTTCTTCTCTTTTTAAAAAATTTTTTAATGTTTATTTATTTTTTAGAGACAGAGAGAGACAGAGCGCAAGTGGGGGAGGGGCAGAGAGAGAGACACACACAGAATCCGAAGCAGGCTCCAGGCTCTGAGCTGTCAGCACAGAGACTGATGTGGGGCTCGAACTCACAAACTGTGAGATCATGACCTGAGCCAAAGTCGAAAGCTTAACCCATTGAGCCACCCAGGCGCCCCTCTAGCTAGTCTGCAAAATGCTATTTAATTTGAATTTGTCTGATTATTCCTTGTGGTAGATTCAAATTCTGACTCGTTGGCAGAAACAGTGAGAAGTTCTCACTGCATCCTTTCAGAGTTATTTGTTCCCTTGTTGATGCTATTCACTTTGTGCACCCAGTTAATGTGATGTCTACCGGACTTCATGTAAAGTGACTCTTTTCCCTTTGTAATTAGTTAATATTTTGTGGAGAGTGACAAAGATGGCCTTAACATTCCCTTCAGCTTCACTAAACTTGACTTTGAGACAAGTTTGGTTCTTCCTATCTATGAGCCCCTGATCACCCCATTTTTAGACCATTTACTTCAAAAAAAACTTGTAGTTGGAAATATTTCTCGGCTCTTTTGAAACGTAAATCTTTAAAAAAGCTTTTTAAGGTTTCACAACCCAGAAATGTCTTTCTTAGGGAAGGGAGAGTCATTCCTCTGAAGTGTAATCATCAAGAAAGAAATCTTGCCATTTGCAACAATGTGGGTGGGACCGGAGGTAATTATGCTAAGCGAAATAAGCCAGTCAGAGAAGGACAGATATCATATGATTTCACTCATATGTGGAATTTGAGAAAGTTGACAGATGAACATAGGGGAAGGGAAGGAAACATAAGGTAAACACAGGGAGGAAAACTGTAAGACACAAATACAGAGAACACACTGAGGGTTGATGGGGTGGGGTGGGGGGTGGGTTAAATGGGTGATGGGTATTAAGGAGGGTACTTGTGGGGATGAGCACTGAGTATCCTATGTAAGTGATGAATCACTAGGTTCTGATGTGGAAAACAAAGGCAGAAGGCAATGGCAGATAAAATTAAATTTCCTTATAGCCTGCAGCCCACTGATAATAACTTGAGGCTGGCAGAGTAAAACATTTTTCCAGGAACTCCCTACTGTCTTAATGTGAATGCTTTGCTGGAGAGGAAAACAACCTTAGCTTGACAATAGCTAGGCCTCTAAGGATCCTGGGAGTCTTCTTTAACATATGAAAATCTCCCTGGAAACTTCCCCTGGACTTTACCTCCCCCAGCCCCATAGTATATAACCAATCTCTCCTCACGGTCCAGGGGCAGCTCTTCCTGCCCATGGGTTCTGTGCTTTAATAAAATCATCTTGTGTGTGTGTGTGTGTGTGTGTGTGTGTGTGTGTGCCAGAAATGTCTCAAGAATTCTTTCTTGGAGTTGGCTCTGGATTCCCCCCCACCATTCCAAAACCCCATCAGGTTCTACTCCTGGAGCCAAGACTACACTGAATGTTAACTAACTGGAGAATCAAATAAGTAAGTAAGTCAATCAATCAATCAATCAATCAATAAAATAGAAAATAAAATAAAATACAACAAAAACAAAAAAAGAAAAGTAGCACCTCTATTTCTTAGATTCTGTGGGAAGGTAGGAGGCTGACTTCAGGGGGCACCTACCTCCAAGTTTTAAAACTATCGCCTATCACGAGGACCTGAAAAGGTTTAGTTTCCATCTGGGTACAGCTGTTTAGCAGACGCACATGGTGTAGGACCCCTCCTTCAGCCCAGCTCTGCAAAACCCTGTGCGAAATAAGCCCGCTGACCCAATCAAAGGCAAGACGCAGAAACTCTAACACAAAGAAACAAGGTTTTCATCGACGTTCTCGCAAGAGCGTGTGTGATGGAAAGGCACACTAGGGGGCAGTCACAGCGGACAATTTATCTCCTAGGGAGAAGTCCCGCCCCCGGTTCCTCATTGGCTGAGTACTACAGAGGTTACAGCCTTACTGGAAGTTGCCGGTGCCCATGTAAGGCAAAAGTTGTCTGATTGGAACAGATGTACATTCTTTGAGGCGACACAGAGACTTAAGTTCTTTAGCACCTGCTGGTTGCAAAGCCTGGGAAAATAAGTTGTAAACTTACTAACTGAGCAGCACAGGTTTTATTTCGTCTTTCTGAAATGAATCATCTCCCTTATTCCTCACAATCCTACTCTTTTTCTCAGTAGATTTTAGCTCAGGCTGAGTTCTGGCCTATCTCCCTGATCGCAATAACCCTGAATAAAGTCTTTTCCAGTGTTGATATTGTTGAGTGCAATCGTTGCTTTGGCGGGAAGGAGGTGCTTTTAGATTTTGTAAGTGCCCCATTCTTCATAAGAACTTCAATCTGTTCATTTTTGTATTTGTTTCTTGGTGGACTCTCATTTTCATGTTTTGTTCAATTTGTATTCTCTATCTTGGGGGTATTTCTTTGTCCAGACCTAGTCATAAAAGTTAGCTTTGAGGTGACATTTGTATCCTTGATCACCATGATCGTTTTCTGGTTTGCAGTGTTGTTTGTTTTATGATAATAACATCAACAGAATACCAGTAACCGTTCTTTTCCCCATGTGTGAACTGACCCTTATGTTCTAGTCTGATTCATAAACACTAATAAAATAATTAACCAAATAAAACGATATATTTTTTCTTTGTTCAAACAATTTTCTTTGTACCTTCTAAAATGTTACTTTATTTTCTGAGCCCTCATCTACAACTTGAGCTCTATGTGCAAGAGTTTTTCCCTATTTGGATTCCTATCCTATCCCTATTATTTAAAGCAATGTCTGATACACAGTAGATGCTCAATAAATATTGGTTGAATAACAATTGATAGGTACTGTGGAGAAAAGTTGCATGTCACTTATGAGGATATAACTTAGGGGGATCTGATGTTGTCCCTTAATTTAGCCAAAACATCTTTAAATGTGTGACAAATGAACTGAGATCTAAGTGAGTAGAAATGGGTAGAAGAAGAGGGAAGCTTCCATGAAGTCCCAGATAAAACACCAATAGGAAAAAAAAACCTTTTGGATTTATAAGCATGTTATGCTTTTTAAAAATGCAAAGGTAGTGTTACTGAACCCAAGAAAGGATAAACAGGATGTGAAATATGATGGAAAATAAGAGGTGTCTTATATGTCACACACATTTTCACTTTCATGTCAACAGCAATTGGAAGCCAATAAAAAGCTTGAGTTAGCAGAGTAACCAGGTCAGTTTCAAGATTTAGTACCATTACCCTGGCTACCATATGGGAAAAGGAAAATGAAGAAGTGTTCCAGTTATGAATTAATTTAGGTGACTGTTGGGCAACAGATGATGGGCTGGTATTAAAGCTTTGGAGATGCAGTGAATTGAAATATAAACATTAATAGGATTTATTATGAACAGTAAAAATTTAACTTTCTTGAAAGAGAGGTGTACTATTTTAAATGGTGCTTAGGTTTTGAGAATGTATTTCTTTCATTTACTCCTTCAACCATCACTTTACTTCAAGAATTTTCATCTCAGATTCACACCTTCTTCCCCCAGCAATACACACCCAGCAAACAGTTCTGCTCGTGGGTTACCTGCCGAGTATTTCTATTTATTCCTACTAAATTGACTACAAATGGTAGATGAGGAACAAAGCCAATGTTAAGGGTAAAACCAGGTTTCTGTTTTTATACACTTAGTTGGATGGTGTTTACATTTAGAGGACTGAGGAGAGCTATATTTTGAGGGAAAGATGATAAATTATAGACATATTCAGAGGCAAACCATAAGAGACTCTTAATGGAGAACAAACTGAGGGCTAATGGAGGGAGGTGTGTGGGGAATGGGCTACGTGATGGGTATTAAGGAAGGCACTTGTTGTGATGAGCGCTGGGTGTTGTAGGTAAGCGACGAATCACTAAATTCTGCTCCTGAAACCAATACTACACTAAATGTTAACTAACTAGAATTTAAATAAAAGGTTGAGGAAAAGAGATACAATTCAGATGTTAAAATGGAGTCCACGGTTAAATAATATGGAACTCAAAGAAAGTATCACTGTTGAATATGTAAATTTAGGATCCCTTAGAGTAGATGTTGATCCTTAATGTATAAAGGATCCCTCCTCCCAGGGAGGAGTAGGAAGAGAGAAGATGAAAGGCCTAAAACTATAGGAAGACTAACAAATCTGGCAGAGACAGAAATTGAAAAGAGCAGAGAAATCAGGGGAACATGATGTCACAAAAATTCTTGGAAGACAGTATTTAAAGAAGGAATGAATAGAAAAGAAATGTTACATTCTGCTTGAGGTGACTTGTGACATGTTAACTGAAGCAGTTTCACTGGGTATGGAAATACAGATTGGCATGATTTGATGAGAACCGCTTTTGCAGAATGGTAGATAAAACCAAATGTGACCAGGCTGAGATGCTGGGAGGACATATTTTCTTTAATTTAAAGAAGTCTCCTGAAACAAGGAAGGGACACCCTAGCTTAGGTGTATATCTGAGAAAGATGGAACATAGAAATGGAGATAAGCTGATCTTGATAATACAAAGTATCAGATTGCTGGGCTGCCGTAACAAAGTGCCACAAATTGCGGGGCTTAAAACAAGAGAATTTTATTGTCTCACAGATGGAGAGACTAAAAGTCCAAGATCAAGGTGTCTACAGGGTCCATGCTCTCCCAGACTGCTCTAGAGGAGAATCCTCTCTTGCCACTTCTGGCTTCTCTTGGTAGCTGGTAATCCTTGGCATTCCCTGTGTTATAGATATATCACTTCAGTCACATGGCCACTTTTTCTCCACGTGTCTTCACATAATCTTCCTTTTGTGAGTGTTCATCACTAAATCCAAATTTTCACTTCTTATAAGGACACCAGTCTTAGAGAGATCTGGGCCCATCCTAATGATTTCATTTTGTATTACATTTTTCATGACTCTATTTATAAATGAGGTCACATTCTGAGATGCTGAAGGTTAGGACTTCCACTTGGCGGTGTAATTAAAGCCATAAGAGAGAGAAAGTAAAATTTTATTAAAACTACACATGACTAAAGTTTATAAATATTACTACTACCATATGGAATAAAATTCACTGTTTTTCATATTAAATATGTATAAATAACTATTAAATAACGGAACAAAATTATGATCTACAGCTGAAAAGAACTTGTGTGATTATTGGCTGATAAATATTTGATCTTGTAAAGTCTGACGGATTCTGGGAATTTTGGGGTGGGTGGGGGAGAGCTTTCATTTAAGCAAACAATTTGATTAAAATGTGTTACAGAATTCACGAGCCCACGAAAGGTATTATGACTTATCTATAAATCTTCAAAACAGGGGATAGAGGAGATTGATTATGCATTTGCTTATTGTCCAGTGAGTGTGGAAGCAGGTTTGTAATAGTGTCCACACATCACTTCTTCCCGTCCAGGTCCAAGGACCATCTCTGCCTTCTTTATTGCTAAGTGTGTCTTTCCTGGCTAGTTTCGCTCCTCATGAGAAAAAGTTAGCAATGCTATTATTATTCACACTATCATGGCTCTTAAAAATGTCCTTTCAAACACATTTTTTTTTTAATTTTTTTTTTCTTTCAACGTTTATTTATTTTTGGGACAGAGAGAGACAGAGCATGAACGGGGGAGGGGCAGAGAGAGAGGAAGACACAGAATCGGAAACAGGCTCCAGGCTCTGAGCCATCAGCCCAGAGCCTGACGCGGGGCTCGAACTCACAGACCGCGAGATCGTGACCTGGCTGAAGTCGGACGCTTAACCGACTGCGCCACCCAGGCGCCCCTCAAACACATTTTTAAACAAACAAAAAAAATTGAAACAACATGCATCTGCTTGAGTTTGCACATGTCTAGCACCGTCTACTTCATTCTGATTACATCATCATGCCATATTCTTCATAAATATTCTTTTCCAGTGATTCTCTCAAAGGTTGGCACTGTGGTGCATTGACGATCACAAATGTGAATCTAATCTAAGATATGCATAAAATCTGGTCAATAATTTTTTAGATGTATTAAATTTGTCATTTGCAATTTTATACCGTAAAGGTAAAGCAACAATCTTCCAATCATGTCTTTGTTGATTTGTTGAAACCTTGATCCCTGCTTATCCAGAGAAAATTTTAGGGCAATCGCATTCATGAATTTAGATATGAGATATTAAAAAATAAATATCAGAATAAATCAATTTAGAATAAATACCATATAGCATTATGACCGATTTAAATTTTATCTAGGAATACAGAGTAGTTATTTAATATTAGACAACTAGTGTCATTAACCATGTTGCAAGATTAAGGAAGAACATCAAAATAAATGCAGAAAACAAAAAACAGGAGAAAATTCAAAGACCCTTTCTATAAAAACTTTTTTTTTTTTTTTTTTTTAGGAAACAGGAAGAGAAAAGATCTGCCTTCACTTAAAAAAGTGCATTAAAAAAACACTGAGATAAAACACTGGTAATGTTGAAATGTTAGAAGCATTTTCCTTAACATGTGAAACACATCAAAAATGTTCACTGTCAATATTGTCCTGGAAGTCCTACACATTTTAATTAGACAAGAATTAAGTAACAGTTATAAGATAAGAAAAAATAAAAGTGCTGTCTTACAATATTTAAAAAATTTTTTTTTCAACATTTATTTATTTTTGGGACAGAGAGAGACAGAGCATGAACGGGGGAGGGGCAGAGAGAGAGGGAGACACAGAATTGGAAACAGGCTCCAGGCTCTGAGCCATCAGCCCAGAGCCCGACACGGGGCTCGAACTCACGGACCGCGAGATCGTGACCTGGCTGAAGTCGGACGCTTAACCGACTGCGCCACCCAGGCGCCCCTGTCTTACAATATTTAAAAGAATCCACCAATTGTTAGAAATTGGACGTTTTCAGAATGTATGTTGAACAGAAGAATAGCCAAAACAGTTACATTTCCATATATAAAGTAACTATTTTAAAAAGTAATAAAATCATACAATTGCAATAACATAAACATCAGATACATTCAATATGGGCACATATAATAAATAACATTCACGACTCATTAGAAAAATTACAGATCACTCAAGAAGACCAACACAATACAAAACATATAAATAGAAAAATAATACCATAAATACACACAACACTTCTCAAATTGACCTAGAGATCCTGTGAAATTACAAGATTCTTCTAAAATGTTACAGAAAAGCAAAGGTACAGGCCATGTGAAGAGTAGAAAAATAAGTTGAAGGAAATTATTTTAACAACTATCAAGATGTATTATCAGGCTAAAGCAGCAGAGTGTTGAAAATTAACTTACACAGGAGGAGAGAAAACCAGCTACAAAGATCATTGTACCTGTATTGTAATTCCACTATAGAAACCTGAATTTAGTGCATTTGCATCCTGCAAATCCATTTTCTGTCCGTGTAGCATCTAGCTGTTGCCGCACCATCGTTATCGAGGTAAGCACACTTTTCCTTTCCTCTCACCGGAAACCTACGATAAAGCGGTTAAACACTATGTGTTAAAAATTCCTGTGACTTGGGGGCCCTTGGGTGGCTCAGTCTGCTGAGTGTCCAACTCTTGCTTTCGGCTCAGGTCATGATCCCAGGGTCGTGGGATCAAGCCCTGCATCTGGCTCTGCACTGAGCATAGAGCATAGAGTCTGCTTAAGATTCTCTCTCTCGGGGCACCTGGGTGGCTCAGTCGGTTAAGCGTCCGACTTCCATTCAGGTCATGATCTTGCAGTTCATGGATTCGAGCCCATGTTGGGCCCTGTGCTGACAGCTTGGAGCCTGGAGCCTGCTTTGGATTCTGTGTCCCCCTCGCCCTCCAACCTCTTGCCCCACCCCCCCCCACTCCCTGCTTCTCCCCCACCTGCACTTTCTCTCTCTCTCTCTCCTTCAAAATAAATAAACATTGGGAAAAAAAAGATTCTCTCTCTTCCCCCCCATCTTCTCCCCCACTTGTGCTCTCTCTAAAATATAAATAAAAAGTTTTTCTAAAAACTCCTATGATTTCTTCTTGCCCAATGACCCCTTTTAAAAAAATATCTGTGCAGAGTCCTAAAAAAAATGTGGTGTGGCACAGACTTCTCTTGCTAAGGGGAAGATATCTGTACCAAATTGGACCATAACAGTCTCTCTTCCAAGAGTTTATACCTGTTAAACTGCCATTAACACAGTTCTACGTAATCAGTGGACCTATCAGTTTATATAAGCCAATAGTCCTTAAGCCAGGGGGATCTTGCCTTCTGTTCCCCAAACACACAGACACAAGTGACACTTGGCAGCATCTGGAGACACTTTGGGTTGTCACAATAGAGGTTGGGGAGGAATTGCTTAATAAGTAGAAGCCAGAGACACTGCTCATATCCTCAAATGCACAGGACAGTACCCCCTCCCTGCAACAAAGAATTATTCAGTCCAAAATGTCCGTTGTGTTGCTGTTGGGAAATTCGAACATAAACTAAGTGGCTAAGTAGCTGGCAGTCACCGTGTGAGTTGTTACGCTAAGGTCACGTGTGCAGTAAATTTAGGTCTTTAGATCCAGCTTTCTATATTGCAAAATGGAAGATGTGAAGCTCAAATAAATTCAAGTTAAAATGAACAGTAAGTTGACCTTGAACTGTAAGAGATATCAGCAAACAGGGAGCATGAAGTTTGAAGAATAGGTACAATTTGGAGAAGATAGGTTAAAATCAGGCAAAAGATTTTTGGCTTTTTCTTGGTCTGTGTTTATGAATCTCAACATTCATATTTTCAAAAGAACCAGCTAAGACCTTTCCTCTTAGATCCTGATTTCCAACCTCCCTTATTGACTCTTTGAACCGATCTCAACACATGATACAATTTTCCCGATCCCATTTTTCCAACACATACCGAACTCTTGGGTTTTAGAGAAATATAGCTAATGCTGATGCTCTACAGAGGGTTGTGCTATCTAAATTTAAATAATTCCCCAAAGAAAGAAACTCACCATATTTTAGACATGGTTCCATGTACCCATTGTAGTGTTTGATTTTCTGTTATCTCCAGCCCAATCCAGTGATCAGCAGTGCATTTGTATCGCTTAAGAAAATCCTTTAGAGACAAAATAAATTGTATATATTTTTTTAGTTTTTAGTACAAACTATTGTGCTCCTCTTGCTTTGCAGTTTATGGGGAACAAGACAACAGATGTCACCAAAAAATAGCCATGGGATTTTGAAAAATGTATTTTACCCTCTGACCCTTAGGTTTCTTATCTGTAAACAAAGATGTGAGATAAATTTTCTTAAGATCCTTTTTTGATTCCAAATTTATAAATATTCAATATGGAAATCTATTCCTCCAGGATTTTAAAATTTTAAACTTCTGGAAAGCCAGAGTTTGCAAGTGATTTCTCACACAGCCTTTCTTTAAAATATACATGTATTTATTTAAATTCAAGTTAGTTAACATACAGTGTAGTATTAGTTTCAGGGGTAGAACCCAGTGATTCATTACCTACATATAATACCCAGTGCTCATCTGAAGTGCCCTTCTTAATGCCCATCACCTGTTTTGCCCATCCCCCTGACTCCCCACCCCCATCAACCCTCCGTTTGTTATTTGCATTTAAGAGTCTCTTATGGTTTACCTCCATGTTTTTATCTTATTTTTCCTTTCCTTATAAGGAAGATGTTGCACAGCCTTTCTAATCATCAGATATTTATTATAATGTTTTCCCACTTCCCAGTAATTACTAACACATTCATTCTAAAGTTACATTTTACTTCAAATTCTCTCCCAAAATGATCACATGTGCGTATGTGCACACACACACACACACACACACACACACACACACACACACCCTTCGTATAGCCAATTCCTTCAGCCTTTAATTCTCAAATTTTTTTCTGCCAAAAATTTTTATTTTTTTAATTTAATGTTTATTTATTTTTGAGAGAGAGAGAGAGAGTGTGTGGTGGGGGGCAAGAGGAGAGAGAGAGGGAGACACAGAATCTGAAGCAAGCTTCAGGCTCTGAGCTGTCAGCACAGAACCTGATGTGGGGCTTGAACTCACAAACTGTGAGATCATGACCTGAGTTGAAGTTGGACACTTAACTGACTGAGCCACCCAGGTGCCCCCAAAATTTCTATTTCTGATGAGATCATTTGGTAAAAAAATATAATTTTACCCTATTTCTCCTTTTCTCCTTATTCAATGTTGAAATTTCTTGCTACCTTGGAGCATTTTTACCATAGAATTATATATAGAAGGTTATTGAATCTATCATGCCACTAAATATCTGGGAAACCATAACCTTGACATTGTATCACTCCATGTTTCAATTCTATGATAAATATAAGGGATACGGTTCACAACACTGTGGTCCATTCCCATCTATAACAGTGACACTAATAATCTTTGCATTTTAATATACCATTTTTTGCAGCATTTCATAAATTTATTTGAAAAAAAATTCTCATTGAGCTAAGCTTTGGGTTTAAAAAAGAACCAGATTAATCAAACACTGCCCCTGGATTCATAGGGTTTCATTTATGTTGAAGAAATTTATGTAAATACAGAGTTAAAAAATATTTTCCTGGCTAAAGAGAAGATTATGGCTATAATAAAAACAAAGTGAAATTTTATTTTACAAGAAAGAAGTATTTGAATCCTTATGGGGTACTTGCATATAGGATGTGATCTAAGAGGTGTATCTGGAAGAGAAGAATAGAATATTCCATAATAAATACAGAGGACAAGGAAGAAGAGGACAGTTCATATTTTAGGCTTTGGGAAAAGGTTGTTTAAAGGCAGAAAAAATGCGAGAAAGGATAACTGTATTGACCACCAACAGGATATATGTCATCACCTAATTGGGAAAATTGAGCGGCACCTGGGTTAAACTTCTAACTCTTGATTTTGGCTCAGGTCATGATCCTAGAGTTGTAGGATCGAGCCCAGTGATGAGCCCACGCTCAGCGTGGAGCCTGCTTGAGATTCTCTCTCTCCCTGTCCCTCTGCCTCTCCTCCAATGTGCACAAGTTGTCTCTCAACCAAAAAAAAAAAAAAAAAAAAAAAGAAAAAGAAAAAGAAAAAGAAAAAGAAAGAAAAAGAAAAGAAAAGAGAACAACAAAAGAAGAAAACTGGATGAGTTTCGGTAGTTGTGGTCTTAGTGACAGGGAACAGGGAGGTGAGTGTCCTAAAACCTATCCATGAAAAATGTTAATTATTATTTGCTCACTAAAGGAACACCAATGTGGCCTCTTGTTAAAGATGCAAGACAACTCTACATTAGTGGAAATAAATATGAGCAATATTTCATGAAACAAGCTCCATCTCATTTTAACTAAAGAAAACATTTTGTAATTTAAGTAAGCATATATAATGTTCTAATTAAGCTGTTTTAAATAAACAGTCCTTTAAAATTCTTCCATAGATTATTTTTATCACTCCTTCGCAGATTGCTTTACCTCATTTTGTTTGTCACTTAAATTTTGCCCAGATCGTGTAGTACATGGTAATGTACCAGGAAATTGTAGGACCAAAGTCTCTTTTCTTGATCCAAAAAGTGCAATGATTCTTATCAGATATGTTTAATGACTTCTCTTAAGTTCAAACCTAATATTTTGGTATGCTTTTGACCCATGATATTCACTATTTTTTTTAGTCTGTGCTGACAACATTCCTGTGAGTGAAGATTCTAAAAATATTTTGCCTGATATTTCTTTGTCCCTCAAAACTTTTACGAGCACCCGTTTTTTTTCCACCTTGCTGCTGATTTAGACATTTTTCCCCCAGGAGGAACTGTAAAGGGAAATTTAAGAATTTCCCAGAACATTCATTGCAAAAGTCTTGCAAAATTCGGCAGTGAAACTACTGACTAAGGATGCTCTTCCTATTAATTTAAGTCGGCATCTAACTTGTTGATTTGCTGTGTCTGCTCTTAATGTACCTAGTTTTTTTTTTTTTTTAATTCAGATTTCTCTACCTTTTGTTGCAAACAAAAGTTGAGTGTCTTCGCATTGATCTGTAAATTGCCCCAGTCTGGTTTGCACCCGTTTGAATTTGAACCAATCTCAGGTAGAGGGCAGAAATACATTTTGTTCCCCACAGAAGGAAGAAAATTCTCTTTTTAACAATTTTAAATGCCGTGCTGTGCTGTTTTACATCGTAAACCCTTTTTAATTGTGCATTATTCAAGTTATATTTCTTCTTATATTGACCCTTAATTTTTTTTTTTTTTATTTGAGGATAGTTGGTATACATTGTTACATAGTTTCGGGAGTACAACGTAGTGACTCAATAAGTTTATACATTATGCGATACTCATGACAAGTGTAGCTATCGTCTGTCACCATACAAGGTTATTACAATATCATTGGCTATATTTCCTATGCTGTGCCTCCTATTCCTGTGACTTATTCATGCCGTAGCTGGAAGTCTGGATCTCCCAGTCTCCTTCACCCATTTTGCCCAGCCCCCCCCATCCTCCTCCCCTCTGGCAACCATCAGTTTGTTCTCATATTTCTAGGTCTGCTTCTGCTTTTTGTTTTTTCATTTATTTATTTTTTTAAATGTTTATTTATTTATTTTGAGAGAGAGTCAGCATGAACATGGGAGAGGCAGAGAGACAGGGAGAGAGAGAATCCCAAACAGGCTCCATGCCATTAGTGCAGAGCCTCATGGGGGGCTCAATCCCACGAACTGTGAGATCATGACCTGAGTTGAGATCAAGAGTCAGATGCTTAACTGACTGAACCACCCAGGTGCCCCCCCCCATTTTTTTTTTTTTAGATTCCACACATGAGTGAAATCATATCTTGACCATTCACTTTTTTTTTTTAAGTTTATTCATTTATTTTGAGAGAGAGTGAGGAAGAACAGGGGAGGGGCAGAGAGAGAGGGAGAGAGAGAAGCTCAAGCAGGCTCCACACTGACAGTGCAGACAGAGTCCTTGGGGCTCGAACTCACCAACTGTGAGATCATGACCTGAGCCAAAATCAAGAGTCTGATACTTGACCCACTGAGCCACCCAGGCGCCCCTTGACCCCTTGGCTTTTTAAAAGACTAAACAGGAGTAAAAGCATTTGCTTATTGCATACATGATTCAGGGAAAGAGTGGATTTCACAAGTGCAGAAGTATGTAGTTTTGCAATCCTTTATTAAAATTCTTGGAGATTTCTTTCCCTCCTGGGATTTTTGCCATGTAAATCAGTATTTATTAAACAAAGATCCATAAAGCTTTTAATTTGTACCTGCCTTTGTGGTATAGCAAATGCAACAATTTCAGATAAAACACAGTGTGTGTTCACTGGAAGCCCGTGCTTCAATCTAAGAAAACTTTCTTTCCATCACATCTGCTGGTTGTGAGTGCTCCAACGAAAGCTGCTAAGGGAACTCAGAGACAGACAGCAAAGCAAGACTGAGAAGTCAGAGGAAGGTTCCTCAAAGGGGGTAGCCTGGAGAATCCCATCCTTTGTGAAACAATTATGTGTTTGTGGAGTGTTGGCTTTTAAAAGGATCCCAGGGGCAACTGGGTGGGTCAGTTGGTGAAGTGTCGACTCTTGGTTTCGGCTCAGGTCATCATCTCACGGTTCATGGGTTTGAGCCCCATGTCGGGCTCTGAGGTTGAAGCCTGCTTGGGATTCTCTCTCTCTCTCCCTCTCTTTCTGTCCTTACCCTGCTCATGCACTCTCTCTCTCTCTTTTTCTCAATAAATAAATAACTGAAAAACAATAAAAGGATTCCAAATTTTGTGAAGTTACTCTATTTATACTCCTTAAAATATAAACATAGCTGTCAACTCTATTGCTTGATGTTAAGTCTTAACACTATTCAAACCGAACATCAGCAGGTTTTCCAACTTCATCTCACATGGCATGTTCTAAACATCTTCATAGACAGGCATGTGTGAAAAAAATTTACATTATCATATCATTTGAATGCCCCTTCTTAAGAAATTTGGTAAGGATGGTGCATTAAATTACCATTTCTTTTGTCGTGTCAATGATAGTTAGGTCTGCACCTCGAGTGATACAGTCATGTCTACTCGAATTCCAATCCCCTTCTTCTTTAGAGAAATAATAGCATTTTTTTTGGAAGCCAATCCAATCATCTGGGCAGAAATGATGAGTACGCGGACATTGTGTAGCTGGAAATGAGACAGACACATATATCAAAGACCAGATGAAACACTATGCCACCGTATTTTGAGATCAATTGGGGAAGACAAGGTCATGAGGTTAAAGGTCATGATCACGACCAGAATTGCACATCTATCACACAACAAGGTGAAAAACAAATGTCACGTTAGTTGAAAAGATGGCAGTTCAGGATTTGACAGGATGCTGATATTCCTTTCAACTCCTACCCCAGTAATGCATCAGCCTTCACGGGGCTGCTAGTGTGAGTTTATCTGTGTTAAGTCACCTTTACCGTCTTGGGGCAAGTGAAATATAATGAAATCCTAGCATTATCTGGAGTAATAAAAATACTAATTTATATTAGACTGTTATAATGGAGGACACATGTTTTAACCTCTAAGGAAGCAATGAAAATAATAAAACAGAATACAAAATTAACACTATGTGTGTTGACTGCTTATTGTCAACTAGGTATCGGCATCACTCTATGGCTCTGAGTTAACCATTGAAAAGACTCTACATGAGATTTTGAAGGCGGAAGTAGGGCAGAGCCATTATTCTCAGAGACATAGGGCATAGGAACGTCCCAAGCCTTTTTTATTTTTTTGTAGTATTTTTTGCTTTATTTTATTATTTTTTTAAATATGAAATTTATTGTCAAGTTGGTTTCCATTCAACACCCAGTGCTCATTCCAACGGGTCATCCCAAGCTTTTTAATGAGTTTGCCTTTGGTACTCTTGACAGCTAGATGTATTTTTAGACTTTCCCCAAATCTCTAGGTTCTCCAAACACATTAATGCTTTAAGCCAAAGTCATCAGTAATTATTCCTCCTCCAGCTACACAGCTTTCCAGATCATCCCTCCCCAGCTCCTTCCACAGCCATGTTATCCCTAATTCTCATATTAAAGTCCTGTTCTAACATTTTCCGAGACTATTTTCTTGAAAGCACCCAGACTGAATCAGTTTTTGGTACCAAAAATGGGTCTAAAGGAACAAAACCTTAAGGATGAGTATTAATTGTCCATGTGATTCTCTTTAGAGGCATGGATTCAAACACCAGTTGTAAATGGGATGCTGGTGATATATGAAGGTAAAACAATTAAATTATCACCTACAGTCACCTGATGCCAAGCACCTATAGAAGGTGAAAGCTTTAACACCTTTTTCTTTTTTTTTTTAAATTTTAATTCCAGTTAGTTAACATACATTCGTTTCAGGTGTACAATATAGTAATTGAATACTTCCATACATCCCCCTGTGCTCATCATGATACGTGCACTCCTTAACCCTTACCACCTATTTAACCCATCCCCCACCTCCCTCCCCTCTGATCACCATCAGTTTATTCTCTATAATTGTCTATTGCTTGGTTTCTCTCTCTCTCTCTCTGTCTCCCTCTCTCTCTCCCTCCCATTTCTTTCCCTTTTTTTGTTTTGTTTCTTAAACACAAGATCATGACCTGAGGTGAAGTCAGATGCTTAACTGACTGAGCTAACCAGGCGTCCCAAGAAAATAAATCTTTAGATTAAAATTGTCTAAAAATTAAGAACTTCCATTCATTGGAAGATATCATACAGAAAATAAACTTAAGCTTCATAGTTAAAGAATATTTTTACTGTACTTACAATATTGACATAGTAGAAGACATTTACAAAATATTTTTATCTACTATACTAAATAACACTATGAATCAAACAAAAACCAAGGAGGTAACTCAACAAAAATATGGACCAAGTACCTGAATATACCCATCGCAAAATACTGTGGCTAAGTGAGCAATAAATATGACAAGGAGTTTAACAGTATTGGTCATCAGGAAAATGTCGATTAAAGTCACAATAAAGTATCAACACACACTTATCAGAATGCCAAAAATGGGTAAAATTGGGAACAAAGTGTTGACCAGTATGTTAAAAAAAACTGGCATTCTCTTACGCTTTGGGCTGGACTATCTACTATCTACGGAAATATTTGCTAAAACTGACCTATGCATATTCCATGGCTTAATAATTCTTCTCATAAGTATATCCCACACAATATCCACTAGTCCCTAAAAGACTAAATGTGTAAAGACGTTCAAAGCAGCATCATTTGCAGTAGTCAAAATGTGGCCCAACCTGAATGTCCGTCAAAATAGAGTGATTGATATAGAGCATGAAATACTCTATAGCAAGGATCTGAAAAGTACAACCTGAAGCCAAAATCAGAGATGAAAAGGTTTTTACATTTTAAAATAGTCAACAGTAAAAAATAATAGAAAAATCAAAGCAATTAAAAGAGGGATAATATTTTGTGACATGTGAAAATTATACGATATTCAAATTTCCGTGTCTAATTTCAGTGAAACACAGACAAGCTCAATTGTCTGTGCGTCATGGGCAATGTTTTCATACCACAAATGCAGAATGGAGAACTTGCAATACCGATTGTATGGCTAACAAAACCAAATTTATTTACTCTCTGGTTCTTTGCATGAACATTTTTCCAACCCCATTCAATGAGTCAATGAACTTTTGCTACATGTTATATCACGAAAAAATCCTACAAACATGATGTGGAACAAAGGAAACAAGATGCAGAGAATACATAAAAATTGCATGATCTTATTCATAGAAAAATGCTTAAATGGGCAAAACCAACTTATGCAACAGAAATCAAGATAGTGATTGCCATTGGTATGGGAATGTTGGATGGAATGTGAGATTATTCGGGTGAACGATTTCGTCTTCATCATTTTTGTGTCTCCCAATGCTTTATGTAGGTCATGTAATTCATAACAATCCATTCATTGATACTCCTTACGGATCATGAATAATGGGAAAAGAGTGAGAATAATGAGAAAAGATCATGAATGAGGCAGAAAAGAAAATGATTGTTCAGTAGGAAGCCCTAAGAGAGAAAAAAATAAGTAAAGACATAAAAAAATGTAATTTACTCACCCATTAAACTAATTAGAGGAAGAAAAAGGATGGTGCTGAATAATATTGTCACTAAAACGCACTTTAAATGAGTCATCTTATACTTGTCCTCAACACCTGAAAAAAGTTGTATTTAGAGACAGGTAAAAGAAATACGAAATTTGTATTCATAATCATAACTAACAAACTTCTTTAGGCAATTTATTCTGATATTTCACAAGATGACACAAACATACTCTTTCTGCGTGTTATGTAGAAAACAACAACAACCTTGGTTTTTTTTGAAATGTCTTAGGATCATTACATTCAATCCACATGTTACCATGCCGTGGATTTTACTGCTTATAGTCCAAGGAATCAAATAGGTAGAATTGTTTAGGGTAGAATTTCTTTAGGCCTGGAGCCACCCCCAGGGCCTTCAGTATCTTTCTTCTATGGTGCAGTATCAGCACATCCTAACAGTCCTTAAATATTTCTAAGAAATTCTACTTTCTAACTAATGAAAACTTTGCTTTAAAGGATAGATAGTATGTCATACATGAAAGTTCATGAAGATTTGGAATTGAGCTTTCTGCTACAGACAAGCAAAGGGAACTTTGACAAGACAGGTTTTTTTGTTTTGTTTTGTTTTGTTTTGGTCTGATAGTTCCTCCTCTGCAAAATCAGGAGAACAGAATAAATATTCAGTGAAGAATTGTTTTTCTTTCATGAGTGCCCATTTGGGGAAAAATGGCATATAGGTTTTTTGAAATAAAACACTTGTATCTTGTATTATTTTGTATGATTAGAAAGTATCCGCCCTTATTGTAAAGTTTTATTAAATTCTAAAAATTACAGGAGTTACTTTAATAGACGGGCATACTTATGGAGGGCGTTTATCATTCCTATCTTTTCCACCTAGTGAAGAACTGTTCTGTTGTTGAATGAACTGTTTTTCCTTTGTGGATGAGTGAAAGATATTACATTTAAAGCACATATCAATTTATACTACGTGGAGATAACCAGCATCATCTTTTGGGTTAACATCCTTCTATCCATAGTTTCACATGTACAACATCTCCCACAAACACACAATTTTAAACGAGTGCCATCATCATGTACCCACCGTTTTATATTCTAATGTTTTCGGTTAACAATTGGTTCTTCTCATGTGTGGTTGACCATTAAGAATGGCCCCCCCAGTGAATCATGTCCCCCTGTGCCCCCCATCACTTTGCCACATTTTGCTGCTCCTGTCATCAAAAGATATACAGTGTTTCCCAACCCTTGAATATGAATTGCCTAATGCTTTGTTTTAACCAAGACGGTGGTAGAAGAGAACTGAAACTTTAGAGCCCAGGGCTTATGGGACCTTAGAATTTCTACTTTCACTGTTCTGGAGCCCAGCATAATAGAGGGGACAGGAGACATTCCTACTGAATGTACCCATATTCCTAAACCATAGAACCACAGGCAATACAAGGGTTGTCTTAAACCACGAAAATTTGGGGGTGGTTGTTCATTCAGAGCAATGGCTAAATTTATACGTAAGTAAAAGAATAATTTGACATTTATTTACTTTATGGGATTTTTTAAAGGTTTATTTGTTTTTGAAAGAGGGAGACGGCACAGGCAGGGGAGGGGCAGAGAGAGAGGGAGACAGAATCCCAAGCAGGCTCCAGGCTCTGAGCTGTCAGCACAGAGCCCAACACGGGGCTCGAACTCACAACCGGAGATCGTGACCTGGGCTGAAGTTAGACACTTAACTGAGCCACCCAGGCGCCCCTTTTAACAGCATAATTTTAATGGCTGATAATACTTTCATGTAGTTATGCTGTTGAAAAAAGTAAAAGTCTTCTGATGGGTATTTAGGCTGCCCCACCCTTTTTAGTTTTATGCAGAACTAGCATGAGCATAGTTTAAATATCTCACATACTTGTCTAATTACCTTAAGAAAAAAAATTCAACAATAAGCAAATTGGCGTATATCAATTAAATGTTCTTCCACAAGTACTGCAGTAATCTACACCATCATGAGTAACATATGAAGATATTGGTACTCATAGAAATTCATAATAAAGTATTTTTTTTAAGTACCGTGAGGAGGGAGAGGGACTGCAACAAAGAGAAAACTAGCATTGTTTCTGAGCCACCAAAGTGTTATTATTTCAACTCTGTGAGAAAGATAATGGGGAATTATGTCTAACTTCGTGGATTTCTGCCAAATTTCTGAAAAGTCTGGTCGTTAGCTGTGCATTTCTTCTGAGCATCCACAATTTCAAAAGCTCTGCAGTCAGCAAGGACTGTAGTATCTACAATGCATCACTTTTGAACCAGCATTGTGTTTGGTTTTTTGTTCATTCTTTGCCAAATATTTAGTATGGCCTACGATGTGCTAGTTTCCATAAATTTAATAGTCCACACGAGACATGCATAATCTCTGCCCTCCTAGAACTTATATTTGGTGAAACAGACCCAGGAAACTGATGAAACCGAATTTAAAAGTTGCAAGTTGCAACAAGTGTGGGAAGGCAATAAATGGGATGCTCTGATTGATAAAAGGGAAAATGACAGGGAAAGGTAGCCAGGAGCGCCATTCTGTGGAAATGACATTAACACCTGGACAGAGAACATGAGCAGCGGCCATTTATGTGAAATAAACCAGAAATCGCCTTTTAAGCAAAGAGACTGCAAATGCCAGGGCCTTGAATCAGGAAAACTTGAAAAGAATGTGGCAAAGTAACACGTGTGATAGAGCCCGAAGTAGCAGAGGATTGCAACTAGGTAGAAGGAAAATGATGCTCAGCTTTGAAACCCCTGCGAAAGAGCTTGAGTTTCTTCAAAGTGTAACAGGAAGCCACTGAATTGTTTTAGGTAGGTGTTTGGCGTTGCCACCTTTATGTTTTTAAAGTTCCCTATGACTCGTGAGCCGAGAGACCATTTGGGGAGCTATAACTCTGACAAGTCAAGTTACGGTGATCTCTTAAACAGGAGTGGCAGCTGTGGAGATAGAAGCAAAAATAGAACCCTTGGAGGCCACTGGTATCCTTGATAGAGTGGTTTCAGAGTCATACAGAAGAATGTTAGACTGCTGGAAGTAAGGAAGTGAAATCAGCAGGTGGATTCCAAAAACTTGTGCTGTGGGAATTAGAGGATGTGAAGAGGTAGGTAGTCAGAATGAGATGAGCGGTTATTGTAGGATTTAAAAAAAAAAAAAAAAAAAAAAGATGCACCACTTAAAGTTTCCATGCATTTGGGGATGGTTAACATGGAAGGGATAGGTTGTCAACGCAGGCAGGAGGGAGAGGGAATAATTAAATTAAAAAGAAGAATTCTCAGGGTGCCTGGGTAGCTCGGCCAGTTAAGCGTCCGACTTCGGCTCAGGTCATGATCCCACCATTCATGGGTCGGGGGTCTTGGCTGACAGCTCAGAGCCTGAAGCCTGCTTCAGGGTCTGTGTCTCCCTCTCTCTCCGCCTCTCCCCCACTCACACTGTCTCTCTGTCTCTCAAAAATAAACAAATAAACATAAAAAAAAATTCTCGCAGAGGGCAGAGGGGTGTGGTCTGAAGTACAAATGGAGAGATTTCTAGGTAAGAGAAATGACCCTACATCCAGTGCGGCAAAAGTCCAAAAGGGAAGAAACAAAACGCACGTCTGTCTTTTCAACCTTTTGGTTCTGCATATGCCGTAGTTCAGAACTTGAGTCCACGTTCTTTCTAATGGGGTTGTGATCACCTTGCAAGTGCCACCTCATGCATTTCCCTGTTTCCCTATTAGTTTTCTTTAAGTGTCAGGTGTCAAGAAAAGAAGTCGTTTTCTCCTTTTTCTCTGTCATCAACTAAGTCAACATGTCACCATGCCATTCTGTTTGTCTGGGAATTGGCAGAGTGGACGAAAGAGCCTCAGGTTCAAGATCTTGATCAAAGGGTTCTGGCGTATAAATTTATTTTCTTACCTATTGTGGGCCTATTATCTCCTCATCCATTAAGTGACACTATCTTTCTTTCTGGCTTTAATTAAAGAATATATATGTTGATATGTTTTCAGAAGGTCAGGCTTATCGTAGTAAGTAACTAAAAGAAAGCTTGTGGTATTTTTTTTTTCTCATGTTATAGCTCTCCCATCTTTCCATATTTTATTTATCTTGTGGTGTGTGTGAAGACTATTTACCTCAATATTAAGTGGAATTTTTATTTAAAAAAATTTTTTTTTAACTTTTATTTATTTTTGAGACAGA